TAAAGTAGTTTTTCTTGAGTTAACGTCACGTTCATGCTTTTATACACCGATTTGTACGGACGATCCGTGGTTGAGTCAAAATTTTGCTTTTGCTAGTGTACCTAGTCATTATTATTGATTCCGATTGAGTATTAGTTACGGTTATAGCAAAGAGTACCCATACTCTTTGGTTATAGCATAGGATTTACCTGATTAGTATCGGACGTTAAACATTCACTATCCCTCTTGTTTGTTTGTTTGTTTGTGTTGCTATCTGTTACAGATAAGGCAGAAAAGTGCCGTGACTTTAGGAGGCAGTTTGAAGACATTATTATTATATTACGGCTTATGGATAATCCGCGCGGCTCCACTATTTATTTTTTTTACTCCGGATCCGTTTAATATAGAGCCATGAAATTTCGTTGAGAGCTTGTCAGTAAGTGCATGTAATTAAATTTTGGTGTTTGTAAAATTTTAATAGCACTGGAAATAATTAATTTTAAGGTTTACAGTCTTTGAAGATAAAATCACGATAGTAAATCCGTGTTCTTTTATCTTTACACCATCATATTTCTTTTTCTAAGGACAACGTCGTTACAATTATTCTGGTGTCTTAAACTAGAATAATATGGGCTTCCATATTATATAGTATATAATAACTAATATAACAAAACTAACATAACTAATCTGGTATTAGTGCAGTTGTAACAGGCCCTTCAAAATCGCGCATTAATTATTTGCGTTTTTTTTAGAATTGTATCACATATTTCGAATGAATTGTGGCCAAAGGACAAAACGCGCAAAAGGAAATTATTATTTTTCAAATAATTATTACTAATCGATTTTCAAATGGTGTCTCTAAGATTAAAATAGCCATTAAACTTACAAAACTCAAAATATTATATACAGGGTTAGTCAAAAGTATGGAATATATCTTATATCTTCGTTAATATGAATTGTACAGTAAAATATTTTACCTATTAATATGAAAGTGAAATGGGAAATTTGGTTTTTTCCTCTTTACGGCTACATAAAAATAGTCATTTCGTTCATAATATAAAACAACTTTCAGAATACTAGAGCTTGAAGTTGGAGTGTCATCAGAAAAAGTTGAATTACTCATTAATCTGATGAGCACAAAATTTTTAATTACCAGCACATATTAGCATTCCTTTCAAGTGGACTTCACGGACCCTTAGCCTATCGCTCGTCAGGTTGTGTCAAATAGAAGACCCTGCTTGCCTCTTTCTCTGTCACGACTTGCTTTATGTGACCTTTTTGTTTGCCCTAGTAAGGCTCTGGAATTATTGGGATAAGATTGGCAGTAGTGTTATTTAGGTTGGCCATAATATGCGTCTTTATGATTCCTACAATATTCGAACCCGCTAAAAAATAACATGGTCGTAATGATGGGAAATTCATCCTGATAACTGCTCGCAATTATCCTATGTGCAGTCATATGACTGAGCAAGAGGGATTGATTCAGATACCAGTGCCCCGTTACGTATTGACTGCGCTTAAAAGTCCGTATTAAACCTCGTTGCAAATATTTATTTACACAGATTTTAATTATAGTTAACCTAAATTGATTTACCTGTAACGTGGCCTGCCCATACCATTTCAAATTCGAAAGACTTCCGAAATCGAACCGCCACAAAGAAAGTGCAGTCGACCATATGACCATAATACGCAGGCATGGGGGGTTTTTCCAGAAATTGCCAATTGGCTCGGATATAAGAAAATTATTGAGAGCTGAGAGACTTCAACAATCCACTAGAATTAGTGCAGCCTGCAAGAGAATTTGAAAAGTCACACAAAAACGCTAACCCAGAGAACCATGCTTGGATTAACTCACGAGTAAAATTTGATGGCACAAGGACTCAAGATAGGGTACCTTGAGCAGTGGTAACAGAAAGGTGCGAAATGCAAATTAATAAACCAGAGAACAAGCAGAAATGTTAGCACTTACCAGAGGAGTGAGTTTTGTTGGCGATGTCAAGAACCAGGTCCTCAAAGGAGTTATTGGGCGAGGTCAAACCTTTTTCTTCCAGGTGTGGCCGCACAATAATCATTTCGAGAAACTGTTCAAGTCATCAATCAACTACCAGTTCCAATATTTATACAGAAGTATATGCCAAAACGATCTCCACAACCAAAACCGACCGACGTTTGTTTCTGATTTAAACATAACAATATACCGTGTGTCCCAGATCGCGTAGGATGCATGGTTTGTTTTAAAAATTTAAAACAACGTTTCTCTTGTGTTGTTTTAAAATTTTTTTTACTAATTTCTGAAGTAACTTTTTTTGCAGATGGACCCCAAGCGCCAAGTGATTCTATACCGAAAGGGTAGAAAATAAAACGGTCTATATATTTTAGCATCTTTCTTTTTTCTGCGGATCTTTCGGTGGATTAAATTAAATTAAAGATAGAGAATTTTATACAAAAGTTACTGTTTTTGATACGCTTAATTTGAAATTGACGTAAAAAAATTCAAGATGGCTACTATTGAGGAATATTTACCAACTTCCTAAAGTTAAATAGACGCCATATTGGATTTTCAAATGACTTAATACTAGATTTTTTAATCTTTTCTCAACGAGCTATAATAGCATAAGATTGAAAACACATCGGCCATCACTCCATACCAGGAAACAAACGAGACCACAGTCCCTACGGTACCAATCCGAAAAAGAAGCAAACCAAAGAAAAGCGCCACAATAAATCTGGACAGCGACCGAGACGTTCTACTATAGAGAATATAACTACTATAGAGAATATAACAACCCTTTCCTACGCCTACGCGCACACCACCCACATAAGACTCGCACACGTCCGCACGAAGCCACCCGCCAGAGGGCGACACCACGAAAACTACCATTTGATGCAATTGACCACTCGAGTTGTAAGGTTAGCCGAAAACCACAACATGCCACAAAAAGGGCCAGCCGGTGTTACCCACTAGACTTTTTTTATGTGTCATATACAGTGATATGCATTTAGAAGTAGACATAGGGATTTACTATGACTGAAGGACGCCTAATTTTGTGCATGTCTTAAAACAAATAAAAATTTTGCTGTCATACTAATTAATTGGAATATTATTGTTTTGACTTCCGTATTTTTATTTTCGTTCGTGTGCGATGTATTCAACTGAAGAAAAAGTTGATATTGTTAATTGGTATACTGTCGGTAAGAGACTTATTTTCTGTGTTGATCACTTTAAAATTAGTGGTTATTTAAGTGCGATCCACATAAGACACAGCAAAGAACCCTCATTATACATACATATAAACGGAGGATATGAAACTGAATGTTTTAATTTTTGTGGAAGAGAGTCCCATAAGAAACTTAAGGGAAATAGCGACCGAATTTAATTAATATCTCTTCATCATAACCTAAAAACACTATTTACCACTGTCGTTTTTATGAAAATGTATAATGACAATGAAAAATGTGTGCGCATGTTATTTTGGTTGCATAATATTAGGCGTCTTAGAAGATTTTTGTCATCCCTATGTCTACTTCTAAATGAATAGCACTGTATGTGTGTAAAGTGTGTGTAAATAAAGTTACTTTACCCGCTAATAACGAGAGCAAGATCCAAGATGGCCGAAGGGAAAGAAAACCTGCAAGGTGCATTCACTATGGACATGCTGCACGAACTCATTCGAACGCTTACCGTCTAGGTCTAGAAGACAACTACTGGAGGGTCATATCCGAAGTGCACCTCCCGCTTCAACACAAAAAGAGGAGTGCCGCAAAGGGAAACGAGCCGAAGAACGAGCATCCACCACAAAAGACGCTGTGCCTCCAACCCCTTTCGTGACCAACCCCGCTTTCGCGTGTTTTGGTTGCGGGAAACCAGAAGTTATAAGGAGCCAGTGCCCCAACTGCCGCGAAAACGCGAGTGCAGCCCAGGTAAACTTTTACCCCGTGGAAGTGAAGTAGTGCAGATCAGTATCTCGAGTGCAACCGGGAGTGCATATATCGACACGGTCATAGCGGAACACACACTTTTTTCGGTACTTCGCGCCGTCAATTACAGGTTCGTACCCCGGGACTTTTTAACATAATCCTGGCTGACGGAGAACCAAGGTCCCAAACTGCTAGGTTTATACCGATATAAACGAATGCCTTTTGGGCTTAGGAGCGCCCCCGAATGAAGGCATAAAACAGTCACAGCCTACTTGGACGACATTATTGTCCTCTTCGAGAACTTCGAGAAGCACCTCTCCGGCCTTCGCGAAGTTTTTGGATGGATGCGCCGATTCAAATTAAAGCACCCAAGAAGTGGAGTCATTACTTGACTGGAAAACATTTCAAATCTTTCATGTTTGGTGCTATGGATTCAAGTAAAATTAAAAACGAAAAATTTCAACGTTGGAGTTTGGAGCTCTCTTCTTATAATATCATTTAACGACCCGGAAAACAACCCAACTAGACATCTAGAAAAAGAAGCAGTCTTTCTTTGCGTCATCTGGCAAAAAAATGCTAAAAAAACTGCTTAATCTCTCACGTAGTTTAGTATTCATTATCCAAATATAACCAAGCTTGACATTGACGATAATTAACCACGCGATTAAATATTAACCATTCAATGTGTTAGTTTCAAAATGAAGGTGATAGCCATTACGTTGGGGAAAAGGCTTCTGCAATACATCGCTGCCTTTACTGGTGAGCTAGCAATATAACTTCGGTTGCTCCTCTTACAGTGTAGACCACTAGGTTTATTGCAGGTGTTCTCTTGCGGATTGAACTTGGGCTGGCCATCGCCCTATATCCCGGTGCTTCTAAGTGAGGATTCTCCAATTCCAATGACCGTAGATGAGTCATCTTGGGTGGGGACCATTTATCCCTTAGGCGGACTGTGCGGCAGCGTCTTGCTGGGCGTTGTAGGGGGTCGAATCGGAAGAAAGTCAATTGTGCTATGGTCAAGTGTGCCATTCTGTATATCACGGATAACAGTCGCCTTCGCAACGACACTATCTATGCTACTAATTGGACGTTTAATAGCAGGAATGAGTGAAGGGTTAGCTTTAGCTTCTATTCTAATTTACTTCAGTGAAATTTCCGACAAGGAAATACGAGGAATGTTATGCTCCAGTGTTTCCGTCACGCTCTTCCTTGGTGTGATGGTAATCAATCTGGTTGGATCTTACTTGACTATCAAAACTTCATCTTTGATTCTACTGGTAATACCCGTAATCAATTTCCTCACCTTCGTTTGGATGCCCGAATCGCCAAATTACCTACTGATGAAAAGTAAATACGAGGAAGCAAAGCAAAGTTTTATTTCGTTCAAGGGTTCCGAAGATGCGGACCACAGCTTGACAGTGATCAGAACAGCGATCGAGAAAGAAAATTTAAGTCAAACGCAATTCATTTGCCTTTTTAAAAAGGACAACAGAAAACAATTACTGGCGACTTTTGGTTTACTGTTCGCTCAACAAATGAGTGGTATCACCGCCTTTAGCATCTACGCTCAAACTATTTTCAAAGAGGGAGGTGAAGCAATTTCGCCTCTTTTGTCGGCGGTCATATTTCACACCATACAACTTACATTTTCCGTACTAAGTGCTGCACTTGTGGACAAACTTGGGAGGAGACCTCTACTCATATCGTCTTCAATTGGATCAGCTGCAGCGTTGTTTGCTGGAGGATTGTTCTTTTTCATCCGAGACGTTGTCAACGTGGATACTTCCAGGATTTCGGTGCTTTCAACGATTATATTGTTTATATACACTTTCACCTTTTGTTTAGGCTTACAAACTATGCCTAACTTTATACCAACCGAACTGTTTCCCACTACCTTAAAGGCGTACGCCTCGACCGTCTCCAACGTACTTTTGTACAGTTTAGGGGCGATTTCCACGAAATACTTACAATTCACTAAAGATAACTACGGCCTGTTTGTTCCATTTTGGAGTTTTGCCGTATGTGTCGCAATCGGATTAGTGATAATTGTGAAGTACCTGCCCGAAACTAAAAACAAGACATTGGAAGAGATTCAAATCGAACTAAATCAATCACCAACGACAGGTGAAGGAAGTTCACAAAATCCGTGAGCTTTTTGGTCATTTTACTACTATTGTCTCTGGTGTTGTTAGGAAGTGCAACTTACCATCTGCCAGAAAGACTGTTTAGAAATACAGTTAAAAATGTGGGTGGCTTAGTTAAAAAAAAAATAATGGACAGTATTAAAATTTTGTAAAAGTCAATCAAATATATTTTTGTATAACTGTCAATAAAAGTGACGTTTTTAATGGCTGTCAAGAGAGTTAAAAGATGACGTTTACAAGATAAGATGTTAAAAATATTTTTAACACTAGTGTTAATAGCTATTTGTATAACAAGGGAGGGAAGTTAAAGATGCCCTCCCGCGTGTGAAGTTTCATGCCCGACGCGAAGCGGAGGGCAGTAATCAGACAAGGGAGGGATATGTACTTTCCTCCAGAGTTATACATATGATTTTTTCTACTACCTCAACCTTAATTTAGCAAAGATAATTAATTTTTTCTATTTCGGTGTCACAATGATGATTTTGTACAACTGTTTTCGGCCGAAAACAGTTGTACAAAGACAGTGATTATAGTCGTTTTTTTTGGTAACTCATCTTTTAAGTTGGCAGTTACTAGTTAGTACAAGTAGGTAGTTCGTTGGGTACTTCCCAGAGACATGGAGAGAGGAGATCGCTGATCGACGAGTGCGCATCCAAGAAAGGGTGCGACCTCATGGGCGCTGCCATTTTTACACCCGTTGTGTCATGTTGTGTTTATAGTGGTGTTATTTTAGCGTGTGTTCGTGTTTAGGAGAGCTTTTTTCGAGGTTTAAGTGTTTATTTTGTAACGTCAACGTCACTGGCATTTTCTTTTGTTCATTTGGATTGAGATATTATTTTCTTCCTACGGAGCTGCTGCCGAATAGAGTGTAGTGTATGAAGATTGTGTTAGATGTCTCTGGGTTGCGTCAGTAAACCTTTATAGTCCTGTTCAAATTTCGCGCTTCAATGGGTGTCAAAATGGCAGCCCCCTTGTTTTGTAACTTCGCGCAGTTTCATCAATGGGTGTCAAAATGGCAGCCCCCTTGTTTTGTAACTTCGCGCAGTTTCATGCGTTATCTCCCCTCTCCATGTCTCTGGTCTTACTACGCTGCCAACCTAAAACTTAACGGCATAAAAAGTGTTCCCAACATAAAACATGTTAGTTCTAATGTTCCCTATAGTTTCTGATAATGATTTTTTTAATTAAATTAAAGCACCGAAATAGAAAAAATAGTATGAAAAACGCGTGTTACAATGCTTTATTGTAATACTCCTATCTTGCGGACACTCGTGGCTACGCTTCGCGTCGCCACTCGTGCCACAAGATAGTCGTATTACAATAGGTCGCATTGTAACACTTGTCTTTCAATATACTATTTACGGTAAGATAACTGCTTGCCATCTAGTTACACTAAAAAATTTAGGATGTATCCATGGTGAAGTTATGTTGCCATGGTAGCGGTATAAACAGTAGCTTGTGTACTGGTCGTTTCTGTAATTTTTCATCAGGAAATATGGAAATATAGAAAGTGATTTAGAGGAAAATATTCCCTCAGACATTTTAGAAGAAGCTAATCAGGCATCGCTTGATCTACTGCCTGCAAAATCTAGGGACAGATACAAAAAAGAATATACTGCTTTCAAAAATTGGATGATGGGGAGAAAAGTCAAGAAAATTGCTGAAGAGGTAATCTTAGCATATTTTGCGCATCATTCTAAAACGCTTAAACCATCGACGATGTGGAGTAAATATTCAATGTTACGTACCACATTGAATAAAACAATGGTACCACATTACTTATAAACGACAACGTTGACATTAAGTATGCAAAAGTCATAGCTTTGCTTAAACGTCAAGGAAATGGGTATAAACCAAAGAAAGGTAAAATTTTCTGTAGGAATGACATAAACAGATTTCTTTCGGAGGCGCCCGATGACTATTACTTGCAAATGAAGGTAATTATGAGATGATTTGAATTTGATACCTACATTATGAACGCTATATTTTGTTCGTAGGTTGCTTTAATTATTGGACTTGCCGGAGCTTGCCGTTGCGATGAGCTAATTAAATTGTCATTGCATGATATTCAGGATAATGGAGACATATTAGTTGTGAAAATACCCGATAGCAAAACAAAAATGCAAAGAACATTTGTAATCACTAACGAAACCATTAATGGAACAAGTGTACATGGAATTTATAATAGAAAATATGTTTCATTACGCTCTGTTAAAACTGAACATACAAGATTTTTTGTTAATTACGTAAAAGGGAAATGCACCATCCAAGTCATAGGGAAAAATACAATTGCCAAAATACCATATAAAATTGCAAAGTACCTCGAGCTACCAGATGCAGAAGGTTACACTGGGCATAGTTTTCGGCGCACCTCCGCATCTTTGTTGGTTGATGCTGGAGGAGATTTATTGAGTTTAAAGAGACACGGAGGATGGCGCTCTACCAACGTAGCCGAGGGCTATTTAGAAGAATCAATCGTAAAAAAAAGTAAAGTTTCTAACCAAATTATATGCGGAATGCCCTCCACAAAAGTTTCTGGAGAACATCAAATGAACTCTACAAACATTGAAAGTACAGGTTTCAATGTTAATCAATCTTCCTCGCCTTTTTCTGGTAACATTACTTTCAACAATGTTACTAATTGCACCTTTAACTTTGGTTCTTCTACTAGCACTGAGAATAACAAGTACATATAAATAAAGTTAGTTGTAATTGAAGGGTATTTTGTTTACTTATAAGCTTACGTATATATGGAGTTGAGGGAGGAAAAAAGTCCCTTAGGGAGGAAAAGTGCAGCTTTCGACCCTCAAAACGGGGCGAGAATAGTATATTATATAGCAAGGGACTAAAGTGCAAGATTTAATCCCGAGAGTGGAAATTATTGCCCGAGCGTTAGCGAGGGCAATAACCACTTGAGGGATTAGATCGCACTTTAGTCCTGTGGTATATACGCAATTTTTTGCCCTCCCGGATAACTAAAAACTTCCAGCAATTCAACTGAACCTAAAGAAATTGACCTATTAAAAAAAGCATTAGTAAGCTTGGTTAGGTAACCAAGGTAATAGGTGTAAATAAAACGAACCATTTTGCATTTCGTGATTTAAGTAAGCAAGAAACATGACTGAGAATAAATGTAAGGAACCTCTTGGCATAAAGATGGCAGCTGCACGAGCAGTCGAGAGCCTTTTACCCACGAAGTCGAAAAATTTATATAACAAGCGGTATGAAGAATTTAAAAAATGGTGTGCAAGTAAAACTGTACAAGAATACACTGAAAATGTCATGCTCGCTTATTTTGAAGAGAAACAGCAAGGGTTTTCACCTTCTTCGCTGTGGTCCTTGTACTCAATGCTCAAGGCCACAATATTGGTCAAGAAAAATATCGACATTAGTAGGTTTCCAAAACTAATTGCGTTTATCAAACGTCAAAATGACGGATATAAACCGAAGAAGTCCAAAGTGCTCACGAGAGAAGAAATGGACAGGTTTTTAATAGATGCTCCAAATGATAAATATCTATTGTCCAAGGTAAATTGTTAATATTCTACCAACAACGTTGAGTAATTTTGTAATCTTTTCAGGTTGTATTGACTTTGGGAGTCGCTGGGGCATGTAGGGGAAATGAGCTGTGTACATCAAAGATTACTGATGTTCGCGACGTCGGTGATATGCTTGTTGTTAATATAAGAGACACGAAGACAAATGTGGATAGAACTTTTACCATTGTCAACAACGACAGAAGTAATCTTAACTTTGTGGAATTGTGCAGAAAATATATGTCACTTAGGAAGCCGAACACGAATCATGACCGATTCTTTGTTTATTATAAAGATAATAAGTGCACTGTCCAACCGATTGGAAAAAATTTTTTTGGAAAGTTACCGCGACAAATCGCTACTTTCTTGAATCTTTCGGATGCTTATTTCTACACAGGCCACTGTTTTAGACGATCCTCCGCCTCGTTGCTAGCTGATGCTGGTGCTGGTGCTGATGTTAGTGCTCTTAAACGTCATGGCGGATGGAGGTCTGCAACAGTGGCTGAAGGGTATGTTGAAAATTCCCTGAATAACAAAATTCAAACGGCAGAAAAAATTCTAATTGGCCATGAGCAGGGTACGAGTACGGTTAATGCAAATAGTAGCACCAGTGCAAACGTTGCTATTAAAGAAATAAGAGGTGAACATGTTGCTCCAATCATTAATCTACATAATTGTGAAAATTGTATTATAAACGTTAATATAGCTAAATAAATATTGACAAGACTTGTCAAATTCGCTTCATTTTTTGGTTGTTATGGGAACACTTTTTATCCCTTGGGATTAAAAGATCAACTTTAGTCCCTATTCCCAGAGACTGAAGTAGCAAGTTTAATCTCGGGAGGGCAAAATAGGGCAAAAACAAGAAAATGCATATTTTCTTAAGAGTAGTAGGAAAAAAATATTTTTAACGCTACCGTTTTTCAACCAAGTAGAAGTGGTGGCGGTGGCAACGCAACGCGCATTCCAGCTTTATATATGGCGATAGGGAGGGTTAACCTTTCACCCAAGTGAAGCCGACGCGTGTTCAAGCCTAGGCCAAGGTATACCTTATTCTTAGATATGAAGTAAAATCGTAGCTCCCATGTCGATGCGATGAAGTGAAAGCGAAATTCTACTCGTTGTAACAATGCCTTTATGTGTGTGGACCGTCATAAGTTTTATTATGAACTGTATACAAATTCAGATGAATATATTATAATTTATGAACATTAATATGAATAGTACAATTGGAACAGTTGCTGATATTAATACCTTGAGAATTTAAAGAGCTTTGCAACAAATTTGAATTAACTGATTTGTTAATTTATTGACCATTAGCAATCATATCCTGATGTGAAGTGGATGATGCGCCTGTAATGGTGGAGCTAGGTGTTGGAATAATTCTTTCAGCAATCGCCTTTTTGTGAGTAATAGACTGGTCGAGGTAACCCTCGGCNACTTATTATACAGGGTGACACTTTTAAAACTTTCAATGGGCGATATCGTTTTTTATATTAGAGGTATCACAAAATGGCCAAAACCGTTTCGGTAGAATCGAGGGGGAAGCAAAATGGTCGTATAAAGAAGGAACCAACTTCAACCTCGTACCCCCCGCCACCCCCATGCCTAAATTTTGAATTGTGACGTATCACTTGTGATACATCATTGGAAAGCTCTTAAAAAATGCTTTTCAGAAATACCACACTGGTACATTTAAACTGCCCATTCACAATTTATTACACTAAAATTTGAACTCCGCAAATAAACAACTTTTATTTAATAAAATGTTCAAAATGTTCACCGTTTTGTTCTAAACAATACCACAAACGGTTTTCAAATTCATTTCTAACATTTTTAAACACTTCCCTGGAAAGTGAACGGCACTCCCTGACTATCCGGTAGCGAAGATCATTTATGGAAGCTGATGGTTCAGTTTTGTACACAACCGATTTTAAATGACCCCAAAGAAAGAAATCCAATGGTGTCAGATCTGGAGATCGTGCTGGCCATTCTATAGGACCTCTTCGTCCTATCCACTGTCCCGGAAATTTCTCATCTAAAAATTCACGAACAGCCATAGAGTAATGAGGAGGAGCCCCATCTTGTTGAAAATGTATGAAATCTTCAATCAAATTCATGTTTCCGTCAATTGGATTTATTTGATTCTCTATTTCATGAGTGATGAGAGGCTCGACGGTATTTTGTAGCATGTTTAGGTAAGTATCTCCAGTTAAATTTCCTTCGATAAACAGAGGACCAATAATGCTATCACCTAAGATACCTGCCCAGACGTTAATTTTTTGGGGCCGTTGAGTATGCCCCTCGCGAAAAAGATGAGGATTTTTATCGTCCCAATACCGGCAGTTATGTTTGTTCACATTTCCATTTAAAAAGAATGTACATTTATCACTAAAACAAATGTTTTTCACCGGTTTCGGATTATTTTGAATATTCTCGGTCATTATTTCACAAAATTGGATTCTTCGATCGGAGTCGTCTTCGGTTAGTTCCTGTACAATCTGCATCTTATAAGGGTAGAATTTGTGCACCTTAAGAGTTCGTCGTACAGTTTCTCGCGAAAGTCCGGTCATAGTCGCTGCTTTTCGAATAGATGATGTTGGGTTTGCACCAAAATGACCTAAAACTTCAATCTGAGTAGCTTCATCCATTATTCTTGGTCCGTCTCTTTTTTTATTTTCCACTGACCCAGTTTCTTCAAATTTAGTCACTAACATTGCAACATAAGTGTGACTGACACGTCGTTCTGGGTGTCGGGCATTAAAAACAGCTGCTCTTCTAAATGCAGATCGCGCTTCAGAACCATAGATGAAAATAATTTCAACTCTTTCGGCTAACGTGTACACCATTATGAAATCTTTAGTTAAATTCAAAATTTGTAATTTTCTTGCCAAGAAATGCTAAAAACGAGACTAAAATAATAATAACCGATCAACAAATAAAGCAATAGAAAATTATTATTTACTAAAAATTGCTGTCATTGTTTTTCCAAAGCATCACTAGATCTAAGAATTTTTTTTGTATTTCAAACACTCACAAATTCATCAAATACTCAAATTACTCATTTTTATTACATAAATTGTGAATGGGCAGTTTAACTGCACCAGTGTATGGTATTTCTGAAAAGCATTTTTTAAGAGCTTTCCAATGATGTATCACAAGTGATACGTCACAATTCAAAATTTGGGCATGGGGGTGGCGGGGGGTACGAGTTGAAGTTGGTTCCTTCTTTATACGACCATTTTGCTTCCCCCTGGATTCTACCGAAACGGTTTTGGCCATTTTGTGATACCTCTAATATAAAAAACGATATCGCCCATTGAAAGTTTTAAAAGTGTCACCCTGTATATAGGCTAGGATTTTGGTGTAATTAGTAGGTTTAGGTTGTTTATTTCGGGTAGATATAGGTTAAATAGTAGTTATGGATTTAGATAGGTTAAGTGTAGTAGAATTAAATTACGACCTAAAAGTTAGGGGTGTGGAGACCGAAGGTAGTGTTGATAATTTGCGCAAACTGTTGCGAAAAATTCTTAAAAGGGAAAAATCTGATCCACTATTCCCGGTTCCAGTTAACCCTTTCTCTCTTGAGGAAGATATTAAGGTTGTGGAAGCTTCATTAGATCAACTTGCAGAATTAATTATTGATTTTGAGGACTCGATACATGGAGGTACCTTTAAAAAGATAAATTCAAAACTTTTGCACGTAGAGGGTCGTATAAGTCGAATAAGTTTTGGGCAAGATCGGGATAATCTAATTTCGAAATTGTCACAAAGGTTAAGAAATCTCTACCGTGCGAGAGGATATGAAGTTCTGGAACTGCCAGGCCTGGGACATTTAAGTGCTCGGTGCCCGAAACCTGTTACGAGGCATTGTTTTCGTTGTGGCCGATCAGGGGTCACTAGTCGTTGTTGCCCTTTTTGTGCCATACGGCAGGGAAACGACCGAAGGGGTCAATGAGTGATCGAGCCACGGTCTCCTCTTCCACACAAGCGTTGATCGATAAAAGCACCATTATGTTAGACTTTGTATTTGCCCAGCTTCGACACGGCTCCTTCTTGGCGGTATCAATTTATGGAATTAGTATGTTAGGCCTTTTAGATTCAGGAGCTTCCCAGAGCATCTTAGGACAGAAAGGTTGGGAAGTACTTTGACATGTGCCTGGCGTAGCCGCATCTCCCAGAATTTAGTCAACTGTCGCGGAGGAAAATTTATTTTAAATAAAAGATACTTTGCGTGGCCTCTTTTAACAAAAAAAATTACGAAGAAAACTATATCAACAAAACTACTACGAATCTTACAGGAGAAAGTATAGAGGTGACATAAAGAGTATTGACGTGAATTTAAACTGAATAAAAAAAAACGTTACAAAGAGATAATTGCGGGAATTCAAATTTTGTTGAGTCATACGGCGCGTATAAATATTTTGTGTAAAACATGACCAAGAGTTCATTGTGCATAAAAAAATAGCCACGATATTTCTGTATGTAAACCAATCAATATTTTAAATCAGAAATAAATGTATAGGAGATTGGAATTGGATCGATTGAAGTTTGTCAATAAATTCAATTATTTATTTTGGAATTTGTATTTATTCGTCTGCAGTCAAACCAGAGCGTCCAGTTCCAGAATTCAAAAGCGGGAGCAAATTATCCAAAAAATTTAAGAAGACAACCTAATGTCCAACTCCGTTTATTAAAAAATAGTGGCTGACTAGAAAAACATCATGAAAATGTGCTGTATCTGGGGTTTATTTAAAACGAGATGATTGTGACGGCCTCTGTGACAAAATAAGCCCGACCGAGGCCTACGATACTTACAATTACTTTACAATTTGAAAATCGATTACTAACAATTATTTGAAACATAATTCCTTTGCGCGTTCACTTATTCTGAAATCGCGCTATTTACTTCAGCTGCTGAAAAAAAGGAAACAAGAGACTATTTCTTAAAAATTCCTTCTGAAGAACATTTTTGTGTCCTTTGGTCACAATTCATTCGATATATGTGATACAATTATAGCAATAACGAAAAAGTTTCTCGCATGTTGAATCTTTCTCTGCGCGGATAATAAATGCGCGATTTTGTAGGGCCTGTTAAAACTATACCAATATCAGATTAGGCATCATATACGCATAATTGGAGGCGCATATCATTCTAGTTTAAGACACCGAAAGGATTATAATGATATAGTTCCTAGAAAAAGAAATATGATGATGTAAAGATAGAAAAACGCGGATTTACTAACATCGTTATATCTTCAATACTTTAAACCTAAAAATTAATTATTTTTAGTGTTATTAAAAATTAACGAACACCATAATTTGATTGTGTGTACTATTGACAAGCTCTCATTGAAATTTCGTGGCTCTATGTTGAACGGATCCGGAGTAAAAAAATAAATAGTGGAGCCGCGCACGGATTTTCCATAAGCCGTAATGTATTTCATATGACTCCTAACGTCACGTGACTTTTTCGAGCGCTCCGGCCTGTAAGTATCGTAGGCCTCGGCCAGACCAATCAGCTGCTAAAACCATTCAGATGTCATCAAGACTTGACAATCTTCAGGAGAATGTCACAGGCGCTTGTCATTTTGGCAGTTTGGGCCACGCACAATGTTGCCGGCTCACTTCTACGTGATTGGTTGTTGGTTTATGCCGTATTTAGACTGAAGCATTTCGAATTCGGACTATCAACTTTCAATAATTGGACTCGCAAATAGAAATTGAGGATACACGGGATTTTTATTTTGAATGTACTTTATAGATCAGAAATGAAAAATGAAGCCGCATTTTGTAGACAAATTAAAAAAAACTTGACATGCAAAGGTTCGAACCCCAGACACCACTAGACCATTATGGCACACATCCAATCGTGCTTGATCCTGCTCGCATTCCGAAATACTTGTGGTAAATTTTCGCATACACGCGGACGCGTCTGCCGTTTACAAATGTGCGACCGGGAGCGAATTGTCCTACAACCCGGTAATACGAATTTTAAATTAATCAGTATGGAATTCCTCTTACCTTCCATTATTGGTTAGTCGCCTTTTACGACATGCAGTGTCTCTGCAGTAGGGTTATTCTTTCCCGCCCCTACACGGGTAATACACCGATGAAACTAAGAATCCCGTGAAAATCCTCGGAAATTCGTGAGCATCCCAAAAAGAAACACATTTCACAAACGAATCCTCTATCATCTGTCTGGATAGTTTGTATAACTATGGAATAATGATTAAGTAGCCTACAACATGGGAAACATGCCGAGTACGTGTATTTTACTAAAACTATTCTAAAGAAGAGAAACTGCAAAACTAAATTAATTACTAGTTAAGTTTTGGCAAGTTCAACAGTTTCACAGACGGTATAACGTTAATTAAACAAACGACAAAATGGAACTTTATTAAATTGAAACTACGTTCTCCATTAAATTAGTTTAAATTAGCCGTGATTGAGATTTATTAAAAACTATAACGCAAGTGGATCGGTTAAGATTGTCACACGGTGAGAATTATTCAATTTGTGCGTTGCCCTTGAATACCTTGATTTTGTGCTGACAAATTTATAGAGATGCACAATAATGAAAATAAAACCGATAAAGGGGTTGCTCTAGTAAGATTTTAAGATATGGGCTTGCGCGGATCGTTTGCTATCCTTTACACGATAAGAGCTGCTACAGTCTGTATCGGCCGTTCCTTTTGCGCGGTTGAACCGCTTTCGGTTCGCAGCTTCATCATAATACCACCTCCGTAAACGGAACGCTCTATAATTTTCCCAAAAAGTATCGATAAGCTATGAACCGAAAAAAAAGTTAAGTTCAAACGTAGGCTGTGTTCACTTATGCTATAAAATGGTTAACAACTAGTACGATGCGGAAATTATTTGTAAAATAAGTACACTCTAAATATAATTTTTAATATAATGGAGCGATTAAAAGTCATAGTATTTGTGATTTCCACTTGTGGCTCGGTTATAGGTTATTCGTGGCACAACGAGGAAACGACCACAAGATCCTCCCATTTGTCTGGAAAGGATTACCACAGTGATCCGTTAGTTGTCGAAACGAAGAGCGGATATGTCCGCGGATTTTCGAAAACCATATTGGGCCGGGAAGTGCATGTGTTTACGGGAATACCATTCGCGAAGCCACCCATTGAACAATTGCGATTTCGACGGCCGGTGCCAATTGAACCATGGCATGGAGTTTTGGATGCAACCAAGCTACCAAACTCGTGTTATCAGGAGCGTTATGAGTATTTTCCAGGCTTCGAAGGGGAGGAAATGTGGAATCCCAATACTAATATTTCGGAGGACTGTTTGTATTTAAATTTGTGGGTGCCGCAGCCGTTAAGGATTCGCCACCATGACGATAAGTATCAAGAAAAGCCGAAGGTACCTATTCTGGTTTGGATTTATGGAGGTGGGTACATGAGTGGAACGTCTACGTTAGACGTGTACGACGCCGATATTGTTGCCGCAAATAGTGACGTGATTGTAGCTTCGATGCAATATAGAGTTGGGGCGTTCGGTTTTCTTTATTTGAATAAGCATTTCGGTCTCGGTAGTGAGGAAGCTCCGGCGAACATGGGATTGTGGGACCAAGCGTTAGCAATACGTTGGATTAAAGATAATGCGTTAGCTTTTGGCGGAGATCCCGATCTTATTACACTATTTGGCGAATCCGCAGGTGGCGGATCGGTTAGCATACATTTGCTTAGTCCGATTACGAAAGGACTGGCTCGAAGAGGCATTTTACAGTCGGGAACTTTAAACGCACCGTGGAGTTATATGACGGGAGAACGCGCACAAAGGATTGCTGAAATTTTAGTGCAGGATTGCGGTTGCAACGCCTCGATGTTGGCAACAAGACCAAGCCAAGTTATGGATTGCATGCGAGCGGTTGATGCTAAAACGATATCGTCTCAGCAATGGAACTCATATTCGGGAATTTTGGGATTTCCTTCTACACCTACAGTGGATGGAGTTTTCTTACCTAAGCATCCGATTGATATGATGTTAGAGGGAGAATACGAAGATGTTGAGATACTTGTGGGAAGCAACAGCGACGAAGGTAAGTTTCTTTGATGCAAATGTAAATGATATTACTGCCAGTTTTGTACATGTGTAACAAACGTGAATTTTCATGTTAAAGATGTTTGTTTTGTAGCTACATTCCCTTTAAGACCTTACGGTTAGGTCTAACGCTTTTTTCGCACATTAACTTCAGAAAACGCGACAAGAAAAGAACCGACATCAAAGTTTAACAAGTAATTGCATTGATTCCTCTCGTATACCGGGAGACGTTTGCCTGTTACGCAACTAAAAGCAACATGAGTGTCTAAAGTTGTTGTATATATTGTCGCTTTATGTATTCATGCATGTTTGAATTTTTTATAAACCAAACTTTGAGTGTGAAGCAAACATCTTATTATTTTCATTGTTACATTGATGGCGTAATTGAAACAAATCCCTTCAATATCCCTTTATATAACTCTATCTAGAGATTCGTGACCTTGTGGCAGTACTAATTAGACTCTGGAAGCCGAGGATCTTCCAGTTACGACATTAAAGCATTGATCGCCGATTAACGAATTAACAAAAACCAAGCTCGAATTGTTCTCGTTACAATTATTACACTCTACTTATTGGGGTAGTCAGGCAGGTTGAACTGTTCCCCATCAATTATTCTATTTGATAAAACTACAATAGTATATTTTAGTTACTGCTTAATGCAGTTATTAAAAATCAATAGCTGCACCTACAATTATATGCTATTTATCATTTCATTTTGCGACAAAATTGTATTTATTCCTCTGCATATAAATTTGTATCTACCTATTCATGCACCATTCAGTCGCATCCTTATAAACGTTATACAGGGTGAGTTTATTTAAATTTCTTGTAATAGCTCAAAGCAAAAAAAAGATAACACCCTGATCTCCTCTCAACCTTACCATTTAGCTTAAGGGAATATATAGGGAATTAAAAATTTTGTTTCCTTTTTATTCATAAAACCTCTGCATTCATTTGGGAAGTTTCAATTGTTACAATTTATTACTAGCACTTTGTTTAGGGCTGTTCTGTCACGCTAGCCTTAGAATCTTTGAAAAAATCGAATGCTTCGCCTACCTGTGTAAAGTTAGTAAGAACCAGCCAGGTGAAGTTAGCAATAACGATACAGCTATAAAGATAACACATACCTGGACAAATGTTGTTGTCGATATTAAACCTTCATATATTATCCCTTAAAAAATTTATATTTATACCCTAACTATTAAATCACATCCATTTGTACCACATACAGTGTGGCAAGTTTACGGCGCGGCGGGACATAGGGAAATAACATGGGAAAATACATTTTCGGCAATTCCTGCTCCCCATTTCACCCTACACGAAAAATAAAAACATCATCGGATAGATAATTAAAATATCTATCGGATGACATAAAAATACGCAACTGGGAGATCTCGTGCAAGCCTAAAAATTAAATTAAAAATCCTAAAAATTGGTAAAAACTGGTTGGCATTGGAGTGACGTGTCACACTTGCTAAATGCTAGTACATACCTACTGCAACAAATCGTTCCTTTGACTAGCATCTCACTTCAACCACGAAAGGGTGAAATAATTACACTATAAAAGATGGACCTGTCATCAAACTTAACTGAAAATAAATCACGAACTTATTCCCAGTATAAAACGATTTTTCTTCTGTAGTGTAATTATTATCCATGTTGACGTGTTTATTATGGCAGTTAAATCAAAGAATTAAGTGACAAATGCGGTACGTAAATCATGACCAACCAATTTTTTACTCCCATTTTGGATTTATTTAATTAACTTTTATACTTTTAAAAAAGGTCTTAGGCACGCTTTTTTGGTGACATCTAATCCCGATTTTAATTATCTATCCGAGGGCGTTTTTATTTTTTCTTTAGGTTAAAATGGGGAGCAGGAATTGCCGAAAATGTATTTTCCAATGTCATTTCCCTATGTCCCGCCGGCAACTTGCCACGCTGTATATGTATGGACTCTCAATACAGCGAGTGACTAAAATATGGAAAAAAAAATTTTTTAAAATGCTCGCACACGCCTTTAAAAATTTTTTCTTGCGCATTTTTTATACTCAAGAGAAAATATACACGGCACGTCAAAAAAATTTAGGTATGTACCTAAAATTGAATTGCGGGGTTTTACTTTTGCTGCGAAAAAGTTAAAGATAGGTATAGGATATGCTACATGAATTATGCCTAGAATTTGACACAGAATTCAAAACTGGATTTAAAAAAATACGGTTCTATTAAAAAAACAGCGCTGGTATCAAAATCCATTTTTTGACGCACCCTGTATATATTCTCTTTAGTGCAAAAAATTTACAAGTAAAAATTATGATAGATGTGTGCGAGCCTTTTTTAAACCTAACAGTTGATTTTTAAATGAATTTGTTAGCCGCTCTGTATACAAACTTTTATTACTGACAAATAAGTCATCCAACGCGTACAAGACCATTGCATGTAATAATTTATTAATTTTAGATTTAAAGGGATATAACCTCGGATATAATGTAATACATTTAATATTATCGGGAAGGAAATTACAAAATCTCAGCCCCGTCTGTAAAATATGATGTGCTATGTACAAGTTGTCTCATTTTCCAGATTTTTATTGCCGACTTGTAATTACTGTTAGTGATATCAAACAAGTAATACAGGCGTGCTCTTTTTGGGATAGAATCAAAATTATCGCTCGCTTAAGGGATAGGAGGGATAATAAAAAAAAATTGTTAATTTCAGAATGGCCCTATAATTTATAGATAAAAGAGGCACAGAAAAATGTTTATTACAAAAGTTTCGTTATAATGATTGCTGAATAATGTACCGTTTTCAAAATAAGTACACGTGGGCAGGTAAAAAAGTTATCGACCCAAAAGTAATTTTTAATAGAATAAAATGACAACATATTAGACTTCCTTCAAAAGCATACTACTAAACATTTTTTTAACAATTTCAATATTGATTCAAAAAGGATTTCAGAATCTTTTTGAAAAGTTTGTGCGAATTTTTTCAAATTTTGATTTTATGATTTTAAGTTTGGCCCGTTCCTCTTACCAGTTAAAATTCTCATGTACATAGTAATCCCTAGGAAAGTACAAGTCGAATGACATACTAAACGTTTCTTTTATAAATTAAAACTTTAGATTTGTCTACAATCTACATTGATTAAGAATTTATTTGCATTGAACAAATTAAGTATTGTGGATAATGCACACCGTAGATGACTTTCTAGTTTATCTTCATTCCAGGCAATGTATACACTGCTGGTATAATCCGCATATCTGGTTTAATTGAATAATGGAAGGTTGAATTTATTATCTATGTAAATCATTAACGAAAATTATGAATAAAATAGGGCCGTGGACAGATCACTGAGGTACACCATACTTAATAGGTTTCAGTTTTGGTGTTACCTCCATAATTTGTTCTGAAGTACGTATGTTCTCTACCGACAAATATTGTCATCGTCCAGAAACAAATGATTGTACTCAGATACTAACAATAATCCACCAGATCAAAAGCATTGGATAAATCGCAACTTATCGATGTACCTACTTTGCTTCTATTATGAGCATCGCGAATTGCTAAATAAATTACTTGATTCGGAAAAATCAACATATATTCTTTTTTACATAGTGATGAAATTATCGGACTTTTTTGAACGAAAAATCGTATGGAAAGTGGTACTTTTTTTCACGATTTATACTATGCGTTTCCATGGAGTTTAGTCCTGTCTATGAACAATTAGCATCCATTTGGAAATCCCCCGGAAATAAAAATGATGTGTATTAAATAAATCAAAGGATCTTTTATAGGATTCTTTATAAATTCTAACTAGGATGGTGTTGTTGAGCTTATTTCACTACATGACACAGTGCATTCATAGTGAACGGGAATAGAAAAGACGAATTTTGGGGTATGGAAATGCCTGATGTATTGTTTTTCAAAGGTTTTCCGACTTTCCTTGGCCACAGAAATGCAATGGTTATTGAAAAGATTAGCTACCGCTGTGCTTTTGTGATTTTCCCACCATTACGATTTAGGAATATGTTAGATGGGTTTCTTGTACGTTTATGTAAATTGTTATTAATGACTTGGCATATGCTTCTTCTTATTTAGTATGAATTTGTTTAACTTATTTGTAACATTTTTCGATAAAATGGATAATATATACAAAAATATATACGATATTCCATACTTTTCAGACACTCTGTATACAATGAAGCGCTCTTAAAAAACTGTAATTGCGAAAAAATGTACGTCGCATTTGAGCGCATGCGCATGATGAAAGGTACAGTGTAGTGCTAAAACATTTAAACAACGTTACTTTTGATAACGTTAGGTAAGCACCCCCATCCTTTAAAAAATTGTGACGGTTTAACCGTGATGCCGCTAGCTTTTTATTCAAGCAAACAAATAACTCGAATGCGCTAAATAACTCGAATGGCGCTACCCTCCCCCCCCTCACTTATTGAAAATGTGCCATGGCTTAAAATCGTGATGGCGTCGTGCAGTTTTTTTCAACCATCTGGCCACTTGGCCTTCTGGACTCTTAAATTGCAATAACCACCGGAATGCGGCATAGTCAGTTCTTATCAGAAACTTCTGACCATCCAGATGGAAATGGTCGATGACGGCTAGGAGCTCCCTTTGGGTGACACAGTAACTGCGTTCTGATTTAGAGAAAACTGACATATCCGATAACTATCTCATCTCCATCCTGCATTTGAGATAGTGCAACACAACATCAAGTCCATTCTCTAAATCGCCTCATCGACTATCTCTGCTACCAACACCTGAGGCGTACCTTTCTTGAATTCAATACCATTATAGACCGTCAGCTCTGCCAGTAAAAGAGATTGATCACTAGTTGCAGTCTTCAGTGACGGTTTTGATATTTTTAGCCTTTTCTCCCGAACTAGGTCAGGTCCTACGATGGTCTTCGTTGCACCCGTATCTCAGCATTGAACACGTTTTTTCAAATGCAGTGTCATCTATGTATAAACTGTTTGGTTGACGCGACTGTGATGGTA